TGAGCTTCTTGAATGCTTATCTTTTCGTTTTTCAGAATGTTATGGAAATTTTCTTCCAGCAGCTATTCAACTATCTCCTCTGTGGACTTGTGTAATTTTTCCTGTTCCGGAATGCTGATAATTCTTTAAGTTATTCCTCTTCATGTTGTCCAACATGAATCTTAGATCTTCTTCAGATATTTTTATCTTTGTTTCTGCTTTGTCTTCTATTTTAGCAGTATTGAGAGATTTGTCTTCCAGCTCAAGAGTTCTCTCACAAATATTTTCCACAGGGGTGCTATTGGCATGTTGAGTGTGGCAGTCCTTCACTGTGAACAGACCCTGGAAGAAGCACAGCTTCCATACCCCTTATTGATCCAATGTGAGCAGTACTCTCATTTATTCTGAAAATCACCAACACCCCCACTCTGACTGTATATAGTCCACAGACACAAATGCAAACTTTTCTAGTTTTCCTTTAAGCAAATTCAGTTATTTTGGCAATGACTAAGGAAGAGCTACAAGGAAAGGACTTTGCCTTGTTTGCCACTGTATACCTAACTCTAGAATAAAAAATGCCTCGCACACAGCAGGCACACAAGAAATATCTGTTGACTGAGAGGAAATGGTACTGATAAGGATCCTTATCAGAGCCATTTTGAGGTGCGCCCTGACCCAAGTCATGGTATTTTCAATGGGCACAGATGCATGCAGAAGCTGAACATGAATTAGGAAGACCAGAGAATTTGATGTCTTCAAATGATGGTGCTGGCAAAGGATATTAAATATGCTATTGACTGCCAGACAAATAAATCTGTCTTGGAAGACGTATGGTCAAAATGCTCCTTGAAAGTAAGTATGGCAACTCACAGTGACACCACGCACAACCAGATGGAACACTGTACAGCCTCTTGCCCTCCCCACAATTGCCATTGGGCCAGTCCATTTGTTGGTGGTCTTCCTCTTTTTCACTGACCCTCCACTTAACAAACATGGTGTCCTTCTCCAAGGAATGGTCCCTACGTGTCATCACACGTCCAAAGTATGAGACACAAAATCTTGCCATTTTCATTTCTAAAGAGGATTCTGGCTGTACTTCTTCCATATCAGATCTTTTTGTTTTTCTGGCAGTTCATGGTATTTTCAATATTCTTCACCAACACCATAATTCAGATGCATTGAGATGGTATAAACAGCTGTAATTTTGATGGCTTGTTTATGACTGGACTTTGCTTATGGACATAGATGCTCAAAGTTCCAACCAGAATGAAGATTCCTGACATCAAGGCACATACTTGTCTCCATCAAACTCTAGGCTAATACAGATGGACAATTTAGAAATTGGGTATCCCAAAAGGGGAAGATAAAGATATGAAGTGGCTGGTTTACAAGTTTTCATGGGTGTGCTTCCGATTAAAACGATTGGAAGTCTTCATGTAAGAAAGGGCCAACAGCTGGATGAACGAGGGCGTGGCCTGCAGTACAGTGAAGTCTACAATTTGGCCTCTATCCATAGTGTTTGTGATTCTTACCAAACAACTTATTTTTCTGGTGGATCTAGGTAAGAAAAAGTGAGAGAAGATATAGATAGGGTGCTGTAATTCAGTTGTTAATGATTGTTAACGGGGCTGTGATTGCAACAATTTGGAAATCCAACATGAGGATTGGTCAATTTTGCCAACCTGCTGGGTTTTAAATGAACCATCTCAGAAACAGGAATGGGGGACTCTCATTACTATGAAAAAACAAGAGCCAAGAGTGGAGCATGTCCTTTGGACCCCAGAACCTTGAGCACTGAACCTCCTTGACCCAGGAGACAGATGTGACACCAGAGAAGAAGCAGCAACAGAACCAAGAGCCAGAGTACAAGACAAAGAGTCATGGGCTTCCTAGTTCACGGAGCAAGTAAAAGTTGGAGTAGGGTGTCTCCAGCCACTTTCTAATTGGGGAGCTAGGTGTAATGACTCATGGAGCTAGAGCTGAAAACCTATAGGCTAAAGCTTATAGCAGAGTAGAAAGATGAGGCTTTCTGCTCCTGTAAAGATTTACAGCCTCGGGAACCCTGTACAGGGTCACTATGAGTCAGAACCAATTCCAAGGCACATAACCACCACCACTAATCAACAATCTGACTTCTAAGATTGTCATGTGATATGTTTGATTATTCAGATGTTATCATTTTCAAAATGTGATAATCCAAAATATTCTAATCAAGTCACACAGCCAGATATTTCTTAAAGCTGCAAAGAAAATCATGCACAAAATCCTAAGAAACCCACTGCCACACAGTTGATTCCAACTCATATGGATCCGATGTAGGGCTTCAGAAACTGTACATCTTTGTGGGAGCAGAAAGCCACTCCTTCCCCCTAAGCTGTGGCTGGTTGGTATGGACTGCTATCTTTGGGGTTAGCAGCCCAACACCCAGCCCACGGCACCTCTATTCTAAACCAATAAATTACCTTAAAATTGGAGTCCTGGAGTGAAGCTGTAAACTGTTAACCACAAGGCTGGCAGTTCAAATCCACCAGCTGCTCCTTGGAATCCCTATACAGCGTTGTTATGAGGCAGAACTGACTCGATGGCACTCAACAACAACAAATATAGTTTCATTTTTTATAGTTTTGTGTTTTTTTTTATAGACTAGCATACTATACTAGCTTTCTACTATTATTGTTAAATGCTTTCGAGTCAGTTCCAACTCACAGTGACCTTGTGTTGGGTTTCTGAGGCTGTAAATCTTTACGGAGCGGAAAGCCTCCTGTTTCTCCCATGAGAGCGACTAACAGGCTCAAACCCCAGAGCTTGTTCAAGCCGACTTTGCCGTCCCGCGCATCAACCCACAGCGCCCAACAATTCGTTCTGATTTTTCTGGCATCTGCCATACCCACGAGGTATACATGTTTTCTTTTTCCCTATGAAGAGTCAAGAATGGATAAAGCCCACCTGAGCCCATGGACAAGGACATAACCACAGAGGTCTAGAGCTGAGAGCGAAGCATCCAGCTGATATGAAGTGAGGGGAGATGCACAAGAACACCCAAACTTGCAGACAGTACCCACTTGACCTAGCCTCAATGGCTTCGTAATCAGAACTCGACTAGAGGAAGATTTAATTTTTTAAAAAAAAGAACAAAACAAATTTTGATAAAGGAAATGAAGGCAAATTGCTACAATTTGATGAACTTGACCTATACTCTGGACGTAGTAACTTTAAATACCAACATAGAGGGAAGAAGTGTTCATATCAAGTATCAATGCTATCCCCTCTGTACACAGGATAGATAGGGATGGACAACTTAGATATTGGCTACCTAAAATGAGGGGGCAATAAAGGCACGAAGTGACTGGCTTACAAGGTTTCAAGGGGGAGCTTAGTTTAATAGTTTGTGGGGAAAGAAATAGTTTTCATATTGTCTAGACAAGTCTGGTTATAAGAAATGGGGATAAGA